ATTGGGAGTTACATAGGAATGTTGTGTAGCTGGCTGTATATCTTATCATTGAAGAGAAAGTGACACAAATGTATAATTTCACCGCCTTCCGAGTGACCCGAAGGTCCGTTCTGAATGAATAGTTAAAATAAAAAGGGATGTCAGAGCTCATTTTCAGCTAGGTTAAAGGGTCACGAAACACCAGAACACATGTGTTGAGCTGTTGACAGTCGTATATGTGTCCAACACTGCTAAAAACACTATAAGGACACCTATATTTCACTAAAAAGTGTAAATTGGTTGTTTTTGCGTTATTTCAAGAAAATTCGTACTTACGATTTGAAACTAATTTTGGAAGCTGCGTCACGGTCATGACATAATAGTGTGTATTCCAGCGTGCAGACTGGACGTCTGTGCCAGCGTGTGTCTTATTACGTCTTACAGTGTGCTGCATTAATGCATGAGTAAGGCTTGGTTCAAACCAATCAGCGCGCTCTATTGTGCAACTTCATTAATATTCATTACTGTCACAGTGTTTAGACGACAGAGACGCCACGTTGTGTTGGCAAAACAAGCGTGAAGTGTTGCTTTTATAGTTTGCTGCAGTGAAGTTTTGTTTTCATTTTCTCTCTGTGAGAGCGCAGCTGGAGTCACGTGTGGATTAACAGTGTACGCGACGCTCGACAACAATAACTTACGTGTCTAAGGAGGATTATTGTTTACCTGAGAGCTGTTCTCATCTGCAAACGCTGAAATCCAGATTCGCTGCTCGTCTCCTCTTAATAAAGACGCGGCTCTAGTTGCTGGTGATTGTCCTGTCTCTACAGATTTGGTAAGTGAGCGGCCAGTGCTCTTTGTTTATTCAGTTTGTTCGTATCGAACTAAGTTAACTATTGCACCGAGTGTAAACATGTTAGCACCACAACCAAACTTTAACCTCGTGTAGGATTTCACCGTATTTTGTGACCGGAATAACACACGCGGCTTTCTGGAGCTACCTGCCGTGTGCATCTAAGTTTCTGGGAAATGCGGAGGTTTTTTTTCTCTCATTCGCCGTGCGGTATCAAACATTGCATGAAAAATACACGCTTAGAGCAGTTCCTCGAATCAAATATCTCGTTTGTCGCGAGGGGCATGAATGAATTCCCTGAATGAAAGAGCCAAACTGCAGTTAAAGTCCACCATTTAATCATTTGGCAAATAATTCCACTACAGATGTTCATGTAAGCACAGTCACTTTGTCCCCTGTGTGTGTCTATGTGTGTGTTTTGACTCTGAAATTCAGCGCGCCCCAAATAGACACTCCCACACCCTCCCACTTTTCTTCCTCCGACACTCCCCCCTAAACAGAGCTGGACACGCCCACTTTTCTGACTTTTTCCAAAGCAGAGGTGTGAAAACACCCTGCTGAAACGAGGGGGTTTCATGACCCTTTAAGGGAAATGGCACTAGTTAGCTAATGTTTTCTTTCCTAAACACACGTTTTAGATGCTATTTATCAAACTCGAGTTAATAAACTGACTCTTTCACTCTATTACACTTGTCAAGATACTGAATTAAAAGAAAAACCATCAATTACCAGCTAACATTTAAGGCACTGTTGATGTCTTTCTTAAAACAGCGCTGATTTGCCATTGTGTTCACGTGCTCAACAGAAATGCTTGTGATTGGCCGAGAAGGTCATCAGTTCCCTCTCTGCTGTTTACTAAGCATACTGAGCGATCTGCTTGATGACTCGACTGATCTTTACAGCTGCTTCGCGCTCCATTCTCCGTGTATCTGTGTTTGCACTGGGTGAAGAGCGGTAAACTGAGTGCAAACACAGATACACAGAGATTAGAGTGCGAAGCTGTGAAGATCAGTCAAGTCATCCGCACTCAGCGGCGCTACTATGTTAGCCGGTTTTTAAAACTTCAGTACCGTGACAACATTATTACAGACAACACGAGGATGTGCAACAGAGGACTGCAGTGTTTTATCACTCACCGGGTTACATAGGCTGAAGCAGGAAAGCGTCCCCACTGTGTTTAACTAGTACCAAGCCTAGGAGGACACTTGAGCATATTTCTCCTACAGAGATTGCGAAGTTGTTTGATGCTAATTTGCTTTTAATTGTATAAATAAACTTATAATATTAAAGTGATGTTTACATTTCTGCATTTTAAAATCTTGGGAACAGCTAGAGGTTTGTAGTCCACTGCAATGTTTACAGTGCTGGTCCTATACTTCCGGGTTTCTTCCCACCGCAGCCTCGCTTTGGTTCTTTAAAATGGCGGCCGCGTGAAATAAGCGTATGACTATGCCCACGTGGAATCTGCGCTGTCAGAATTTTGCAGATTTTCAGCCCATCATTGATTCTGTTTATTTACTTGTGTAAATTTTATATTTATTCAGTTTTTAAATGAATTTCAGTAATGTTGTTGACTAATATGAAAACGTTCATAAAATGTATTCGTAATGCAGTTTGTACAGTCATATTTTCTGTCTTTTAGTTGATCTGTTATATTGAAGACTTGCTTTGTTTACCAAATAAAGTGGATCTAGTTGGATTTGCATTGTAAACATTAAATACAAGTTAAAAAGGTATTATTTTTAGTTCATATATTAAGGTTTTAGTTATGATTAGGGCCAGATGGAATCTGAGAACGTTTTTTGCTATTTCTGCGGAGAATTTTGGTAAAAATCTGCGGATTTATGCGGAATTATTTTGGGAGTATGCAGCGGAGTATCATAACTTACACTTTAATATATTAAATAAAAAGGAATAAATTACAGAATAAAAACTGAATAAATTCCAATTTACACATTTACTCAAGTAAATAAACAGAATTTATAATGGGCTAAAAAACTGCAGAAATCTGCGGAATTCTGCGGAAAATCTGTGGAATTCTGCGCGTGCAGATTCCGTGTGGGCCTAGTTATGATGCTCCCAAAATCATTCCACATAAATCCGCAGATTTTTAACAAAATTCTGCGCAGAAATGGCAAAAAACATCCGCAGATTCCGTCTGGCCCTACCCATGACTCCAGCCTGCCTCATCATTCATGATTCTCTGCCCTGAGCTTCACCTGCTGCGTTGCTTGTTTACTCCTCTGGAATGCTGCTTTCCATCTTGTGAATCATCCACCTGCAGATCTTACTCATAGATCTTGCTGCATTGCAATGTTTAACTCGTCATATTGTTGATATTGATATAATAAAAAGCTGCAAATTGACACCGAATTCTCTGACTCATCATTATAGATGGTTATTATTATTCACTATTACCTTTTTTTAATTTATTATTTGTAAAATGTACCCTCATACAGTGTTTAAACTGTTTTCGCATTACTATAGTAGTTTATAGTATTAAGTATGAGTACCTACATATACATACTCACTGGCCACTTTATTAGGCACACCTTACTAGTACCGGGTTGGACCACTTTTGCCTTCAGAACTGCCTTAATGCTTGATGTCAGAGATTCAACAAGCTACTGGAAATATTCCTCAGAGATTTTGCTCCATATTGTCATGATAGCATCACACAGTTGCTGCAGATTTGTCGGCTGGACATCCATGATGCCAATCTCCCGTTCCACCACATCCCAAAGCTGCTCTATTGGATTGAGCTCTGGTGACTGTGGAGGCCATTTGAGTACAGTGAACTCATCGTCATGTTCAAGACACCAGTCTGAGATGATTGAGCTTCATGACATGCTGCGTTATCCTGCTGAAGTAGCCATCAGAAGATGGAGACACTGTGCTCATAAAGGGATGGACATGGTCAGCAGCAATACTCAGGTAGGCTGTGGCGTTGATGCTCAATTGGTACTAATGGACCCAAAGAAAATCTCCCCCACACCATTACACCACCACCACGAGCCTGAACCGCTGATACAAGGCAGGATGATCCATGCTTTCATGTTGTTGATGTCAAATTGTGAAATGTTGATAAAATAAATTGCAAATGTTGAAGAGAAAAATAATCACCAAGTAGGCCTATCAATATTGTGTGATTTTATTTATGTTTGTAATTATTTATGTACTTTATAAAATAGTTTATAAACAAATTCCATACAAGTTGACCGGTTATGAGGAGGAGCGATCAAATCCTGCATAAACAGGGAAGACACTTCACACAGGCTGTGTCCAAAATCCCCTATATCACCCAGTAGGATCTGCATTTGATTTGACTAGTATGAATCATAGACTGTAAAGAAGTATGTGAGACATAACCAGTTATGCACAACCCCAATCCTGCAGCCCCTCGTTAGTCATAGAAGACACCTTCATTAGTCTGCGCTGTTAGAAGTTTGCCTTAGTGAATGAGTGTGTGTGGATGTTTCCCAGAGATGGGTTGCAGCTGGAAGGGCATCTGTTGTGTAAAAACATGCTGGATAAGTTGGTGGTTCATTCCACTGTGGCGACCCCAGATTAATAAAGGGACTAAGCCGACAAAATGAATGAATATATATACACATACTGGCAACGCAGTGGGGCAGTAGGTAGTACTGTTGCCTCACAGCAAGAAGGTCCCTGGTTCGAGCCTCGGCCAGATCAGTTGGCGTTTCTGTGTGGAGTTTGCATGTTCTCCCTGCGTTTGCGTGAGTTTCTTCCGGGTGCTCCGGTTCCCCCACAGTTTAAAGACATGCGGTACAGGTGAATTGGTTAGGCTAAATTGTCCGTAGTGTATGAGTGTGTGTAAATGAATGTGTGTGGATGTTTCCCAGAGATGGGTTGCGGCTGGATGGGAATCTGCTGCATAAAAATCTGCTGGATAGTTGGTGGTTCACTCTGCTGTAAGGACCCTGGATTAATAAAGGGACTAAGCCGAAAAAAAAGAATAAATGATGAATATATATATATATATATATACAAAAAACATAAGTTGATTACAAAGTAAATGTACAGGATTGAACTGAACACGGGAACTTTAAGTGTAGATAACAGGAAATAAATGTACACAATAACAAATAAATTGCAAATGTTGAAGAGAAAAATAATCACCAAGTAGGCCTATCAATATTGTGTGATTTTATTTATGTTTGTAATTATTTATGTACTTTATAAAATAGTTTATAAACAAATTCCATACAAGTTGACCGGTTATGAGGAGGAGCGATCAAATCCTGCATAAACAGGGAAGACACTTCTCACGGGCTGCGTCCAAAATCCCCTATATCACCCAGTAGGATCTGCATTTGATTTGACTAGTATGAATCATAGACTGTAAAGAAGTATGTGAGACATAACCAGTTATGCACAACCCCAATCCTGCAGCCCCTCGTTAGTCATAGAAGACACCTTCATTAGTCTGCGCTGTTACTTGTTTTGTTTGCGTTGCCATTGAGATATCGCTGGACCAATGAAATCGAGCCAGAACCACGTGGTTGGAAGCACAGGAAGAAAGTAGAAAAACACCAAGTGACGTAAAATGAGTAGACATTTACTTTCGATTTGTAGTTTCAATAGACCAAATGCTCGCGAAAACACCTCATATCTCCAGGAGCTCGTCGTGAGAAAGTTCTGAAAGAACGCTTCACTGAAAGGAGGTAAGCAAAGTCGATCATAACTCGTCTGTAGTCTTCCATGAAGCCTCTTTTAGTCTAAGATTTCCGTTTCACTCGCTGAATTCTGGACACAACACTGATCTGTAGTTTTCACCGCAACTTCACAAGACAAAAGTTTGTTTATCAGGCTACTTTACAGGGGTTAGTTCATCCAAAAAAGAAAATTACTTCATTTACTGTCGTGTAGTTTTAACCCTTTTTATTGTTGAACACAAATTAAGACATTTTGATGAATGCTGGTTGTTGATTCCCATCCACAGTATTTACTTCTTACTATGGAAGTCAATGGGTATGACATATATATATATATAATTCTTCAACTACGGGCACTTTTATGTCCTTTGATCATATATCCAAACATATAATTAATTTTGGTCAAATTTCTCTTTCTTTGTCAAACTAACAATAAAACCCACTTTTAAAAAATTACTAGCTTTCTATTATATATTTTTCATATTATTCAACCTCTTTTTAGGTGTCAAAATTACTGTTTTCACTTTCTTGCACACCCAGAGTTTTAAACGTCAACAATTAAAATAACATTTTAAAAATAATATTTATCTGGTAACTATTAATTTATATTAATTAGGCACTAGTGAAATAATTTTTCAAAATTATAGTTATTAATGTGAGGCTATTATCAATATTATTTTTTTACAAAATAAAGCTGTCGCTCAGTATCTGTGTCATTTCCGGCACAACACTGTAATGTCGATTTAAAAAGGTTGTGTGAAAGATTATTAAGGTGGTTTTTATGAAAATTAATAGTGGCATCTGAGAACATCTTCAAGATGGAGGAAATTTACATTTTTATCAACAACACTTGAAGAAAACCCAAGGTAAATATTGCTTTATAAGGAAATACATTTATTCTACGTCATTTCCAAACATGTTGTACCTTCAAAGATGTTTTAAAAACCAAACAAAATGAAGGTAAATCAGAGTGTTTTGTATACACGAAAGGCTAGCATCAATTCAAAGCTAATCGCTGAAGCTATTTTTCATTTTTCCACAATAAACTGTAGAAATGTCACATCACCACACACATTTAAAACAAATATTGAAAAACTTCTCATCACACATTAAAAGTGTATTCACAATGTTTGAGTTCATATTTAATTACAAATTTAGTTTATTTATTGTTTAGTAAGCTCTTAACCAAATGAATATTAAACTTTAGAGTGTGACCGGTGCAATATTCAGCACACAACTCATTTATTTCATTGACAAATGTATAATTAATATATATATATATATATATTGTGGAAAGATTGGTTAAACTAGATACACAAATGATCTTAGACAATGTTTGACTGCCATAATTGATTTCATTTTGAAACGAGCTGTATATTGAGATGTGCTGGAGTTAATATTTGTTCAGTTCACGATGGACAAAATGTTTCTCTTCTTATCTAAGTTTGTCCTCTTACAGATCTTAAAACTGGACAAATTGTGTAAACTTTTGAGGCTGTGTTACGCTCATTTTGAACAAGCTTTTTTTACTCAACTTCACAAGGCTACAAGTGCCCGTAGTTGAAGAATGGCCCGTATATATATATATATATATATATATATATATATATATATATATATATATATATATATATATATATATACAGTTGAAGTCAGAATTATTACCCCCAGAGCAGATTTTTTTTTCAACACATTTATATACCTAATAGTTTTAATAACACATTTCTAATAACTGATTTATTTTATCTTTGTCATGATGACAGTAAATAATATTAGACTAGATATTCTTCAAGACACTTCTATACAGCTTAAAGTGACATTTAAAGGCTTCACTAGGGTAATTAGGTTAACTTGGCAGGTTAGGGTAATTAGGCAAGTTATTGTATAACGATGGTTTGTTCTGTAGACTATCAAGAAAAAATATATAGCTTAAAGGGGCTAATAATTTTGTCCCTAAAATTGTGTTTAAAAAATTAAAAACTGATTTTATTCCTGCCGAAATAAAACAAATAAGAGTTTCTCCAGAAGAAAAAATATTATCAGACATACTGTTACATTGTGGTATATGTCGAAGCATGCTAATAGGACTTTTAATTTGCCAGTAACCTGGGTTAAGCGCTTCCGGCGAATTGAATGTCAATGCAAAATCCAGTGGTTTAAGGTCTGTTTTCTTTAAAAATCAGCGATCTCCACTAACTGAGTGATATCCGATTTAAAGTGGGTCTCAGATTGTACAAGAAGCACTGCATTAAATTACATTTCCCCCCGCCATGTCTTTATAATATGAGCATTTAATTTAACCCAAGTATATTCAATGGAGCTTCTGCGTTAGCCTGCCGATTCTGACGAGCGCGTGCGAGTAAACAGCTTTTTGTCTCGTTTTACGCTTGAGTAACTAAATAAATGCTAAAGTTTATTTAACTGAATGTGATGACATTACAACATCGATGCTGTATAAGGAACCGTATAAAATGGTAAAAAGTTCACAATAACAGGTCACCGAAAGTGTATCAGCATGGGAACAGCACTAGCTCGGCATATACCCCATTTCCTTGCTTTGTTAAACATCATTTGGAAAATATTTGAAAAAGAAGAAAAAAAATTGTAGGGGGCTAATAATTTTGCCTTCAACTGTATGTATATATATATATATATATATATATATATATATATATATATATATATATATATATATATATATATATATATACTGCTAAAATGTTCTCTTTACCAAAATCATTAAATTATTTTGTGGTTCTTTCTGCAGAGTGCCAGTAAACAGCAGCACATTTAGATTGATGAACTTAATATTAAATGTATAACTTAATGCTGCCTTTTCACTGAATCGTCCTCTCCTGCAGCCTTATTTTACTTCTTTTTAATGGGTAATTAAGAATGAAAGCAGTCAGAGATACAGGTAGTTTTTGCCTTCTCTTTTATGATTGCTGTAAATGTGCACACTGCCTTCTCACCTGTAGATTCTTCAACTACGACAAAGTAGGAAGTATCCAGGTAAGTCTGACTCAGGTGTGAGTCACTAACCGATGTTGAATAATGATGAGTAACATGTTGCGACAGTGACCCAACTACATTTTTTTAAGAGTAGCATGACAATAAGTCAGCTGTTTTCAAAGAAGCGCCGCTTTTCCAGTAACAAGTTACGTTTCCTGCGTGTGTCTTAAACTTGACCTAACATTATCTGGGGAAACGGCGAATTAATACACCCTGAAGTGATATTGCTAAAGCCTTCACAGATAAGCTACCTACAGGGAGAATCACATGCATGCAGTATACGGCTTAATTCAGAACTGCTGGTAAATTATAAGCATTTTACATACATTTTCCTTAAAGAAACACTCCACCTTTTGTTTAGGGCTAATTTTACAAGTGTCCTAAAGCAGAGGTTCTCCTTTTGATCTACGCGGCCTACTTCTTTCTCTGATTAATTTTTGAAGGCTTATCTGTCTGGCATTTTCATATACAGTTGCAGTCAGAATTATTAGCCCCCCTATTTATTTATTCCCCAATTCCTGTTGAACAGAGAGCAGATTTCTTTAACACACTTCAAATCATAATAGTGTTAATAACTCATCTCTAATCACTGATTTATTTTCTCTTTGCCATGATGACAGTAAATAATATTAGACTAGATATTCTTCAAGACACTTCTATACAGCTTAAAGTGTCATTTAAAGGCTTCACTAGGTTAATTAGGTTAACTAGGCAGGTTAGGGTAATTAGGCAGGATATTATTACACGGCGGCCTCTTCTTTACATTTACATTATAACACATTTAGCTCTGCGTTCTGCTCTGTTGTAATGACGGTTTACGTTTATATGCTTAACCAGCATTTCATCACAGCACTCTAAAACTATTTGGTTACTTCTCTTATCTGTAGTCTTCGTTTTCATCTTCTCATTTAATATTTAGTAAAACCCGTCAAGTCAAAACAAAAGAAAAAGTGTTGGATTTTTCACATGGAGAGAAAGACTTCTCTTTAGATATCTCTGATATGTGCACTGTTTAATAATTGTGCACAATACATGTAAATGTGTAGCTAAAACATATACAGCTGATTTAACTGTTGTATAAATCACACAACTGTGCTATACAGGATTACTTATAACAACACTGTAATTGTGACATAAAATACTGTGTTTCATATTCACATTCAATGTGGTTCTTTTCTCTTATATACTATTTTTTGTTGTGTTTCTTTGTAAGTGTCTTCATTTTGCTCTGACAGCTGTGTGTTTTTACGGTTCTGTTTGCTTTGTTATTTGCACAACAGCACAGTAGAGCTGTGTATCGTGTTAAGCGGGAAAAAAAAACCCTGTACTGTACTGTATTCATCAAAGATTTTGTTCATAATTTGAAATGCTGTGCAGCTTATAGTTTAAGCAGGAGAAAAACCTGTACTGTATTTTATTTATCAAAGATTTTGTGCAGCTGTTTATTTGTAAACAGAGAGGGAAACTCCTGTGTTTCAATTATATTTTGCTCAAAGTTTCAATAAAGGCTTTAACTCTTAAGTAACTATTTATGGGAAAATACCGGATATATATATATATATATATATATATATTTATAGTTTACTGTCAACCTGTTTACTCCTCCTAAAAATACAGGGATATGATATTTAGCCCATATCGCCCAGCCGTAATATACAGTTGAAAGCAGCAGTGTACATCCACTGTATATAAAGGCACATAACCATTTTTTAAAAAGTCAGATGTTAATGTGACTAAACTTTTCCTCTTTAAGGTAAGTCAGGATGATCACATGTGTTTCTGTTCTGCTTAATAGCAGAATAATGAGAGAGATATGTTTTGAGAAATTGTTTTTACTTTTCCTGAAAGTCAAGTTTACAGACAATAAGATCATTCTGCAGCAACAGAAACACATGTGATCATCCTGACTTACCTAAAAGTGAAAAAGTTTAGTCACAATAACATCTGACTTTTTTTTTAAATGGTTATGTGCCTTTATATACAGTGTATGTACACTGCTGCTTTCAATTGCGCCTTAGGAGTGCTATACAAAATTGTGCTGGTGGACAAAACCGTGGTAAACCCTGAAACCGGTTATCGTCCCGTGCCTATGCAATAAGGATACATGCTGACATCCCGTCCAGCTCTAACATCTAATATTGATTACCTCTTCAGCTGCTCCAGAACGCAGCAGCACGAGTGGTCTTTAATGGAGCTAAAAGAGCACATGTCACTCCGCTGCTCATCCGTTTGCACTGGCTGCCAGTTCCTGCTCGCATTAAATTCAAAGCTCTGATGTTTGCCTACAAAGCGACTTCTGGCTTTGCTCCTTCTTATCTGCTCTCACTTCTGCAGATCTGTGTGCCCTCCAGAAACTTGCGTTCTGTGAATGAACGTCGCCTCGTGGTTCCATCCCAAAGAGGGAAGAAATCACTTTCCCGAACTCTCGCGTTCAATCTGCCCAGTTGGTGGAATGAACTCCCTAACTGCATCAGAACAGCAGAGTCACTCGCTGTCTTCAAGAAACGACTAAAAACTCAACTATTTAGTCTCCACTTCCCTTCATAATCTGCAATTCCCTCTCTGGTTCTACCGCTACGGTATAATAAAAAAAAAATCATAAATAAAAAAAATGACTAATGTTTTGCTTTTTAAACTTCACACACCTGAAACTTGCCTACAGCACTTACTCATTGTTGCTCTCATAAATATGTAAATTGCTTCCTTGTCCTCATGTGTTAGTCGCTTTGGATAAAAGCGTCTGCTAAATGACTGAATGTAAATGATTTCCTGCTGATTGTTGGTGTGCAGGAGATGGACGAGGAGATGGACATGGACATGTGTTTTCAGAGAGCGCTGCTGAGAGTGCAGGAGTCACTCAGTGCGGATGAGCTGCAGGATCTGCTGTTTCTGTGCTCGGATCTGCTCTGTTCACGAGACCTCAACACTGTGAGCTCCGGACGCCAGCTCTTCACGCTTCTGCAGAACCAGGACCTGCTGTCATTGGAGGATCCATCGCTGCTTATAGAGCTGCTGAGCATCACCAAACGGACCCGTCTCATGCGCAGTCTGCAGTCGGATGCTTGTATGCAAACCAGTGGCACAGCTGATCAGCCACTCCAACAACAGCAGCGCATCTCCAGATACAGGTGAGGATCTCCCTTATCAAGGACTCGTGAAGGGCTTTGAAATGAGCCTTTTTTTATTCAGTGTAATCTCAATTAAAGCATGCAGATAGGGGGCGGGGCATAAAGTAGCTCCTCCCCTTTTTAAAAAACAGCCCACAGTGTTTTGTTTTGTGAGAAACAGCTGAAGTGAGAGCGGTTGATCTCAAGAGCATCAATTGAAATCCCAATGAGAAGAAAAGGGCGGGGCATGTCAGGCACTAGAGAGCATTTGATTGGTCTATTTGATTGAAGTGAGAGGTGACATCAATTTAATCATTGCTGCATTTAGGCAGAGGTGTCAAACTGCAAACTTTAGATGTTTACAACAGGTTTATATCTTCTAAATGTGAATTTTGTCAGTGTTTTGTTGCGCTCTAGCTTATAAGTATGCTAAAAATGAACAATACTGATATTAACACCTAAAAATCTTTATTTTAATTTTGTGGGATCTTTAAAGTGAAGATTACCAGCATTATCGTTCTGTATTTCAGACAGTTTTTGTATGAGCTGTCAGAGTCCATCTGCGATCAGGACCTGAAAAACATCAAGTTTCTACTAATGAAAACGCTGTCACGCAAAAAACTGGAGCAGAACTTGGTGAGGCACGACACTGACACGTTTTTGCATGTGAAAAAACTGTGCTACATTAAATAAAATGCCATCTTTAGACGCTGTTGCAGCTGTTTCTGGAGATGGAGAAGGAGGACCTGCTGGGGGAAAATAATTTGGACGTCCTGCAGAGGATTTTTGCAGATATCTATCCCGCTTTAGGAAGAAAAATTAATCAGTACAAAGAAGAGAACTGTGAGTGCATGTGGCTGTTTGCTTGTTTCATTAGTTCATGTACAGTTGAAGTCAGAATTATTCGCCCTACTGAATATTTTGAAATATTTATATTTAAATATATATATATTTAAATATATATATATATATATATATATATATAATTAATGTATTTATTTATTTACTCTTCTGCAGTAAATGGAGTGTTTATCGCTCAGGAGACTGAGGGGATTTCATCTATAGCAGATTTGGTAAAGCTTCTTTGTCTTTTTGTTCACTGATAAACAAAATGTTTGAGTCTGTTTTATCTGTCTGTCTGTCTATCTATCTATCTATCTATCTATCTATCTATCTATCTATCTATCTATCTATCTATCTATCTATCTATCTATCTATCTATCTATCTATCTATCTATCTATCTATCTATCTATCTATCTATCTATCTATCTATCTATCTATCTATCTATCTATCTATCTATCTATCTATCTATCTATCTATCTATCTATCTATCTATCTATCTATCTATCTATCTATCTATCTATCTATCTATCTATCTATCTATCTATCTATCTATCTATCTATCTATCTATCTATCTACCTTTTCTTTTTTAATGAAATAAGGTTGCTTCTTTTTGATTAAACAATAGAGTCAAGTGAGCATATTGTTAATTGTCATTGCAATCAGATTGTGAAATGTTATTACAATAAAAAATATAGTTACATTACATCAATATAATTTAGCTGAAGACAAGATTTTTGCCCTTCTGTATTTTTTATAATGTATGTCTCCCTCTTGTGACTGTTGAAGGATTTGCAGAAGAAAATCAACTCAATTTGTTTATCCACAATTAGATGGATGTTTAATAATCACGGCAGACCTGATGTTTAGTCATTGTATGAAAATGAGCAGTGTGAGCATTCTGCCAAACATATCCTTTAGCGTTCACATGATAGAATATCATTTACGTCATTTACTTTTTCTCTTTATTTCACAGCCGTCAGCACAGACTTCACTCTCGTCAGGTCAGTTCACTCTACCTTTACTGAACAGTGTTTTGGTCATGAGTGTGGAAGATTAGTTTTTTGTTCATAGTTACTCTAAATTTAAGATGAATATGAAGACCTAATCTTGAGTTTATCCATTACAGAATTATATATATATATTTATTATTGTATATTTTATTTGCTTGTAAGACATTTGGCTTTGATGAAAGTTACTTAAAGGGCCAGTTCACCTAAAATTAAAAATTCAGTCATCATTTACTCACCCTTTACTTTTTTTCAAACCTTCATGAGTTTCTTTCTTCTATTGGGAAAATGTTGTAAACCTGTAACCATTGACTTCCATAGTATTTGTTCGTCCTACTATGGAAGTCAGTGGTTACCGGTTTTCAGCATTCTACAAAATATCTTATTCAGTGTTCAACAGATGAAAGAAATATTTGGAACCACTGAGGGAAAGTAAATAGTGAGTAAATTAAAATTGGCGGGTGAACTATCCCTTTAAATCTAGAAAATACTGTGTGCACAATTGACCATATTTATAAGGAATAAGCAGATGTGCTTATTGAAAGATGAACAATAATGTGTTTTGCAAATTCAAAGTTTACAGTGTGTTTTTGTCATTTGTTTTGTTGTTTCTCTGTAGCCGAATATGTATGTGTGTTAAATGTTACTTAAAGGGCCAGTTCACCCAAAAATAAAAATTCAGTCATCATTTACTCACCCTTTACTTTTTTTTCAAATTTTCATGATTTTTTTTCCTCCATTGGAAAAATGTTGTAAACCTGTAACCACTGACATTCACAGTATTTGTTCTTCCCACTATGGAAGTCAATGGTTACCGTTTTTCAGCATACTACAAAATATCTTAATTACTGTTCAACAGATTAAAGAATAAATTGCCACCATTGAGGGAGAGTAAATAGTGAGTAAATTAAAATTTTTAGGTGAACTAACTCTTTAAATCTAGAAAATACTGTGCACAATTGACCATATTTATGAGGAATGGGTGCACATGCATATTGAAGGATAAATACTAATGTGTTAATGTGCAAATGCAAAGTATACACTGTGTTTGTCATTTGTTTTATTGTTTCTCTTCGCAGTTGAGATGATAGATAGGGAGATGGATGAAATTACTCTAAATGAAAACGCTTCTGGGTTTAGCGGAGGTACTGTAGTAGATATTGAACGCAACATCACGTTTGACTGTTTCTTTAGACTGACCTACAAACATGTCATCTCTGTGATTCTAGATAACAGCCAGCATTCGGATTCAGTCAACTCAGGAATCATCAGCGAGAGTTCAGAAATGCCTCAGATTGAGAATTCGATGGTAATGTCCAACTGTTTACATGCTAAAGCTTCGTTCTGTGGTTTAATACAGATTGTGCTTAATCAAGGCTTTATTTTTGTTGATTAGCACATATAACAGTGTTTAAACGTTTTTATATCCTTTTCTATTGTTAGTCCTAAAGTGAACAGTTAACCTGAAAATTGAATTTACTGAAATTATGCAAATTTACTGAAGAAAAAAAAACAATCTTGGTAATCTTTAATCTTTTTGTTTATTATTACAACGCCAAATCAGAAAAGGTGCAGTGGGGAAAACGCAAATAAAAAAGGAAAGTAGTGATTTCTAAATTTACTTTGACTTTGTGTTTATTTAAAAATTATTTTGATCATTTATTTTTGATGAATTTTGGTTCTTGCAATACATTTTTTAAAAGGTTGGCAGCTTAAAGCATTTACCACAGTATGGGGTCAAAATGCATAGATATATACACTAGATGTCGCCTGGCCTATTGTTGTCTATTGGACGGAATGCGTCAATAGCGCCGCCATCTTGCTACAGGGTAGCGCTCCTTTGAAATGAATGCGGGACCAAGGTACAGTGGAGGACTGTGGCCATGCAAAGCCAGAGATATACACATATACACATATATCTGTGATCAGGAGTTTTCCTGGATGTTAGTATGTAATTTTTTTTTCTAATTACGAAAATTATAATTTTACATCACTTTTCTACATTGATGGATCAGTGACCGCACGGGCATTCCTGACAAAAAGCTTGTGTTTGTGTGTACAGAAATGTACTATTCACCCTCCCTGTTAAATTTAATCTAATCATGTCCTGAAACACAGCTCCTCTCCTGCTTTCACTTCTCATACTGACGGAGGGAGCGATTCGTTTGTGAATTAATCCCCTGAACGACTCTTTCACTAACGTTAGCCGACAATAATACAAGTTTCTGGCAGCGCAGCATCTCGTTGTCGTATTTCTATTGCATTGTTTGCTGATTTTGTTCAACAAAACTAGCATAAGCCGAGTGTTTAGTGCGAATTGGAGCTGCTTTGCCGTATGGTGAAAGCAGTAAGTGACTGTTATCATCAATAACGTTACCTGATTAGCACAACAGTTCAGAACATACAAAAACAGAAAAAAACATAATCTTACCTATGAAATGTTCTGCCTTTGTGCTTTGTTTTCTTTGTTTGCTCGTTACTACACCCGTAGACAGCGCTAAAGTCCCGCATCTTCACGTAATAACACTGTCTTGACTAGTGCGCTTGAATGACATTTGTCCTGGGAGCACTGTACCAATATGGCGGCGCTATTGACGCATACTCCGGGTCCCTATGCGATATCTAGTGTATATATCTATAGTCAAAATGCACCACACTTTCTCTATTGGAGACAGGTCGGGACTGCAGGCAGGCCAGTCCAGTAACTGTATCTTCTTCTTCCGCAGCCAGGACTCTGTGATGTGTGCAGAATGTGGTTTTGCATTGTCTTGTTGAAATATATATGGGCGTCCCTTAAAAAGAATTTCATTCTTTAGATAAAACTTATATTTCAGAAAAGTGTTTAGTAAAGCAACATGATGCTTTCATGTAACGTCAAAATAAAGGTTGTTTTATTTAAAACATGCTAACAAAAAGTAAATATATAGCCTATAACCCAGAGGTGGGCAAACTACGGCCCGCGGGCCATATGCGGCTCGCTGAACACTTTCATCCGGCCCGCAAGGGAGTTTATAAAATGCTGCTACTGAGTAACGGTTTGGTTCAGAATTAGTAAATTAAAGATGCAATTACAAGTGAACGCCATGTGATGCACGCGGTACAGTTAGTGCAACCAGTAGAATTAGAACACACTCTCGGATATTAAAATGCACTCGACCGTTAATAACTAAAAATGAGTCAGGCTGATCACACCGAACGCGCTTTATACATTAAGAGGTGCCTCTTTTAAATGGTTTACTAACTGCCGCAAGGGTTTTGCGCGATATGCGCACTGCGCCCCTCGCGTTTTAACCGCCTGCTGCGCCTCGCGTTTTTGCCGTAGCAGACTCCAGACTTTGACACTCTTGTGAAGAGAGGGGACCAGGCTCATTGTTCACATTAACACACTCATAATAACATGACTTGGAATAACAAAGACTAAGATTCTTCTTCTGTTTATCTCATAGTTTTATGATTGATATGAGCAGATTAATACAAGCTCAAATGAGATTGTTGTACATTTGACTCAAATTTTATAATAATTGCTGGTTAAATGTGTTAACTTTTGTCATAGAATATATTTTTCATAGATTTTTCTATCAGACAATATCTTTTCTATTCTCCTCTGTAAAAATTATTACATTATTATTATTATTATATTTTATAAGGGATTATTTTATTGTTTTATGACGATTGATAAGTAAATATAAATAGCAGTGCAAATTAATTTGACTTGTAAATTTGACTTAATAATATAAAAAACCTGTTTTGTGTTAATGTGACATGTTTCTGGCCAATATTACATGTTTCATGCATACTGCCACTGTAAATAAAAGTTATTTTTATAAGGATTTGAGATGTGGCCCTTCACTTGTTTTGTCTTGATGTGGCCCTCGGGTCTAAAAAGTTTGCCCAGCACTGCTATAACCAGACCCTTACATGAGGAATATGTCATCTTAATGATGAAAATATGCCAAGAAAATCCTGCTATCACAAGAAAATACCTTTAATAACATTATTAAATGGAAAAACACAGTGAGTTGGCCTATGTGGTTTCAGAATGTAAAAAAACAAGCCTTTAATCATTTTGGTTTTCTGCTAATTTTATTTTTTTGTTATTCGAAATAAAAAATCTAATAATTCTAGAATTTTGCTTTTCTGTTTTTCACCATGAAAAAGAAAAAAACGCCTCATATTTCAATATTCACTATTGAATTTTAAAACAAAAATCAAAAAGTGGCTTGTTTTTCAACAAAAACGCACCTTTTTATAGCAACTGGGCTTGAAACAAGCAACCACACGCTCTGCAAACACACAGCAGCATGACCTCGGGACCCGGAATCACCTGCATGCTGACAGCGTGACAAGGAATGAGAGACCGAACCACCATCCAAGGCGCTCCCCTGCTGAAAAATGCAGCTTAAACCAGCCTAGGTTGGTTGGCTGGTTTTAGCTGGTCGACCAGGCTGGTTTTAGAGGGGTTTTGGCCATTTCCAGGCTGGTTTCCAGCCATTTCCAGCCTGCTCTTAGCTGGTCAGGCTGGGAGATGACCAGCTAAAACCAGCTTGACCAGCCTAGCCAAGCTGGGAGTCCAGCCAAAACCAGCTATATCCAGCTTAAACCAGGCTGGTCAAGCTGGTTTTAGCTGGATTTGACTGGTAATTTTCCAGCCTGACCAGCTAAGACCAGGGTGGAAATGGCTGGAAACCAGCCTGGAAATGGCCAAAACCCCTCTAAAACCAGCCTTGTCAACCAGCTAAAACCAGCCAACCAGCCTAGGCTGGTTTAAGCTGGATTTTTCAGCAGGGTCTAAATAACTTTGTATCAGCTGACAGTTGTGATCCAATCACACATCGCCCATATAATAATAGGAATAATCATCTAATGATGACCGTCACAATTCGAGCCAGCATTGGTCGCAGTGTGACGCCTCAGCGTGAATCTGCTGTGTTGTGTCCTGTAGGTGGAGCAGTATGAGATGAAGGGGGAACGGAGAGGAGTCTGCCTGATCATCAACAACTATGACTTCAGTGCCTGCGGATGGCTGAACAGAGAGGGAACAGACATCGACCACGGTTGGTTTAAAAACTAAAGCATTAACGTCAGCTTAATACTGATCTGAACACATCTCTCAATATATTTCTGTGCAGCCCCAGTAAGCAAGTGTGTCCTCTTTTATGTGTATTCAGACAGTCTGCGGGACGTGTTTGAGTGGCTGGGCTTTGAGATCTTGACCCGTCGGGACTGTACAGGAGATCAGATCCTGCAGGCGCTGATGGATCTCTCGACTCAGGATCACACACAGGCAGATTGTGTCGTCTGCTGCATCTTGAGCCATGGACGTCTAAACGATATCATTGGCGTAGATGGAAAAGCTGTCCCTTTTAAGGAGCTGATGGAGACCCTGAGTCCCTTTCGGTGCTCCTCGCTGTACCAGAAACCCAAGCTGTTCTTCATCCAGGCCTGCAGGGGCACTCAAAACCAGCGAGCAGTGTTTCCTCAGACATTCACTGAAGATGAAGACGTGCTGGCCAGCGATGCAGGAGTGCCCAGAGACTCAATACCTGAGATGGCGGATTACCTGATGGCCATGTCCACTGTGCCGTGGTACGCCTCGTACAGGGACAAATCCAAGGGAACCTGGTTTATACAGTCCCTCTGCGACAACCTGAGACTGCTGGTGCCCCGGTGAGCCCAATAACACACACACAACATTAATATGCTGTAACCCTGTGTGAATGTTGGCATGTAAGGAAATTAATGTATTAGGAAACATTTCGTGAACGTTGAAAAAACATTCTCACAATACAAAAGTAACATAACTGGATTGTTTTTTTTTTTTTTTAGAATATTATAACCATACAATAACGTCAAAATAATGTAATAATAATAATAATAATATTTAAAATATTTTCTTACATTTAAGTAGTGCTTTTTTTTCTGGACACTTAAAGCGCCTCCTGGAAGATCTACCGCCTACGGTTGATTTTGATATTCTGGGAATAATCAAATATCCAGGATTAATTGAGCATAGTGGACGTGAGAGGCTATAATACACCAGGGCCCGGTTTTTCAAAAGGTTTAATCCGGATCAAATTGATCCAGATTTAGTAATTCTGTTTTTGCGATCCGTGATCAGGTAATCCAGCTTACTTTTTGAGCCAGTTTTTCAGAGCAACTTCGAATTGGATCAATCTGATCCGGATAGGAACTTTTCAGGATCACTAAATCTGGATTACCAGTGCTCAAACAGGATAGGAAATCACAATGTAGAACTACAGATATGTAAAGAGCGACAAGTAGAACAGCCAGCGTGGGGTGAATATAACTTTATTTTTTTAAAAATGAAAACTCAGAAAATTTCATAAATATAAAATTAATAATAATAATAAATAATAAAAACAAGAAAAAGCCCACCCCATCCTCTTTCAGCAGTCCGCTCATCTGAGATCTACAACACTGTACAGTGAGGATATTTATAATAAGTTTCAAATATAGATGTAAATAAAAAAGACTTAATGTCAAAAACTCCACAATAATCTCAGACTTCCTCATCTGATGTGGAGAGAGCAGCTTGTCTGAGCGTAGCCTTAGGAGGGTGATCTCAAGTCCTTGGCCTTGGTTTGCTGCAGTTTGGTCAGAGTCAGTTGTTCCTCTGTCAGACGAAGCTGTGCTTCTGCCATTTAAGTCTCTTTTTGCAATTGTTGAAAGAGATTTCTAAAATCAGTCATTGCCATTTTTTACATTTTTTGTTTATTCTGTAATCATTGCATGCATCACTAATAAATATTCTAATAAGAAAAATATTTTCCATTGTGATGAATATATATATCAATTAGAGACAAAATAAAATGGATTGATTTTGGTCAATTTTGACAGCTGTTTGGGGGATTATTTTATGAGGCCAAACTCTTTCTACGTTGCTGTAGGCCTATACTGAAAGGCTAAATACTTTAAAGCCTATAATCACTATAGCCTGACGGATGAACAAATAAAATTAAAACCTTATGAATAAATAGTATATCTCGTAAGATACTATATGATCCATAAATAGTATTATTTAATACATTTTTAAAGTTTTCATTACATTTTAGGCATAAAATCCACGGTAAATCCACCCTTCTGATGGGATCAGTTTAATCCAGGTTTTTTGGATCAAAGGGATCCAGATCCTACAAAAAAGGTCTGAAAAACCCAAACTAAAGGTTTGATCCGGATCAAAACCAAGATTAGATTACGTGATCTAATCCGATTATGTAATCCGTTTTTTTCTTTTGAGAAACCCATTTTCAAGATTTGATCCAATCCCTTATCCAAAATCCTAGTGGATTACTTTTGAAAAACCGGGCCCAGGAGCTCCCTCAAATACTGGGGAGCTAAGCTATTCAGGGCTTTGTAGGTAGTCGATAAAATTTTGACATTTGTAGGATATTTAATAGGGATCCAATGCACTGATGAAAGAACTGGAGTAATATGATCATATTTCTGTTTAGAAAGCTCTCCAGCAGCTGCATTTTGAACCAGCTGAAGCTTGTTAATTAAGCCAGCAGAGCAACCGCCTAGTAACACGTTACAGTAATCTAACCGAGAGGTCATGAAAACATGAAAAAGCTTTTCAGCATCAGATATTGATAGCAGATGTCGAAGTTTGATAGCAGATGCGGTTTTACAGATGCTTGAAATCTGGCCTTCAAATGACAGGATGCTATCAAAAATCTCCCCCGAATTACTGACTGAAGATGAGGACTGACCTAAGAATCCATCAAGGGTTAGACAGTGTTCTAGGTTTTAGCATGTGAGGTTTTTGGGTCCAATAAGCAAGAGCTCAGTTTTACCTGAATTTAGTAATAAGAAAAAGTTAAGTAACTAACTTAGTTAGTTAGTTAGTTAAACCCCTTCTCTTTCGAATGAAATCCTTTGTTTTTAACAACCACATAGAGTCAGGACTTCAACATCTCATCCGGAAGATGGCGCTCACTGAGGTAGAGTGTCCTCTTCACTTTACTGGGGCGTTAGGACTCAGGACTACATGTTAAGCGCCCCCTGCTGGTCTCACTAACACCTCTTCCGCCAACAATTTAGCTTTCCAAACAAGATACTGACCGGGCGCAGCCCTGCTTAGCTTAAGTGGGCGACCATGAGAGAGTTGCAGAGAACTAGCTGCCGGCTAAATGTCAAGTGTCTGACAACATCAATACAACAAGTAATTGAAATGTTATGCAAATGTACTGAATAGCATTATTATAACCAAACAATAACGTTGAATTGAAACATTCTAGCAATCTTGCACAAAAATGTTTTTGTAACTTACTGACAACATTAATATAATTCATTCATTCATTTTCTATTCGGTTTAGTCCCTTTATTCATCAGGGGTCGCCACAGCGGAATGAACTGCTAACTTATCAAGCATATAAACACAAACACAATGGCCAATTTAGCTTACCCCTTTCCCCTATAGCGCATGTGTTTGGACTGTGGGGGAAACCGGAGCACCCGGAGGAAACCCACGGCAACACTGGGAGAACATGCAAACTCCGCACAAAAACACCAACTGACCCTGCTGGTGCGCGAACCAGCGACCTTCTTGCTGCGAGGTGATTGTGCTACCCATCGCACCACCATGACGTCCACATTGATATAATAAGAGACTGAAATGTTTTGAGAATTTTATTGAGTAATTTTATTAGAACAAAACAATAACATCAATATAACATCTCAAAACATTCAACATTCTAGGAATCTTCCACAGAAACGTTTTTATAACTTACTGACAACGTTAGGGAAACATTCCATTGACATTAATGTGAATTGAATGTTTTAAATAACATTCTGACAACATTAATATAACATGACGGAAACGTTTATTATAACCAAACGATAACGTTGATATAATGTCTAAAACAGGTGGCTCAGTGGTTAGCACTGTGGACTCACAGCAAGAAGGTTGCTGGTTCAAGCCCTAGCTGGGTCAGTTGGCTTGTTCTCCCTGTGTTGGTGTGGGTTTCCCTCAGGTGCTCCGGTTTCCCCCACAGTCCAAACACATGCGCTATAGGGGAACTGATCAACTAAATTGGCCGTAGTGTATGAATGAAAGAGTGTGTATGGGTATTGCAGCTGGAAGCTGCGTGAAACATATGCTGGAATAGTTGGCGGTTCATCCCGCTGTGGCGACCCTAATAAATAAGGGACTGAGCCGAAGGAAAATGAATGATGTCTAAAACCCGTACATTTGAAAACATTACACTGAACTAAACTGTGAAAACTGTTCTGAAGCAGTTTCAGTTTACTAGGACTTCTCAGCTGCTTTTGTAAAAGTGCTACAGAAATAAGGAGGAATTCAATTTAATCAGGGTTTCCGCGGGGTCTTAAAAAGTATTAAAAGTTGACAAATCAATGTAGAGAAATTTAAGGCACTTAAAAAATATGAAAAAGTCTTGAATGCTATTTTGCAAGGTATTAAATTTTGTATGATTTTTAATTATGCAGTGTATGGTTGTATGCTAAAGTTTGCCTGAATTAAATATGTGCATATCAGGATGCTGTGTAGTTTATGAAAGCAATGAAATCTTACTAGATTTGACATCATGCTGCTTTGATTACTGAATCAACCAAGGCAAGACCATCATTTCTGCAGTTCCATAGGCGTCAACCTGCTGATTTAGCTAGATTTAATAGATTTGTATTCAGTATATGAATAATGCTTTAGTTTTGGATTAGTTTATTACATTAATATTTAGTTAAAACCTCGCCAGTGTTTCCAGTTGAAACCTAAAGTGGTTTTAAGGTCCTAAAATGTATGGAAAGAGTCTTAAAAAGGTCTTAGAAGGTGTTGAATTTCACTCTCTGATTCCTGTATATACTCTGTAAATTGTTGACATCAGCACGACAATAGGATGACCGTGAGTTTAAATAAAGGGCAAAGGATCAGTTCTTCATGATCTCTATGAACTGTAGACCGTCAGTGATGAGTGAAAACATGACTACTCTCTGTTTCCTTCATATGCTGACTGAAATCTCTGATCTGCATGCAGGGGGAACGATCTGCTCTCCATCCTGACCAAGGTGAACGCTGATGTGAGCAAAAAGTCTGATAAAAGTGGTTTGAAGAAGCAGATGCCACAGCCGGAGTTCAGCCTCACCAGGACGGTGGTTTTCCCTCCGCCAGGGCTTCCTTGATGATGCTCCAAACTGCAAACTGCTACCTTTCGTACTTTGATTTACAGTCTTGTTTCTAGTCTGAATATCTAAACATTCTTAAATCAAGACAAGTAAAACTTGTCTTGTTTCCAGAAATAATGAGTCAAAATGAAGTGAGTTTTCCCTTACAACAAGCTAAACAATCTGCCAATGGGGGACTGAAATAAACCTGTTTTTCTTTTTGACGTTATAGTATTTCACTCACCTCAATGGCAGATTATTTCAATAGTATCTGGATGATGCAAACAGAAACTGATCGCTCAGACATGCAATGTCAGACACAATGCACTCCATGCAGCTAGTGACATCATGGGGTTAGGGGTGGGGTAAGGTAAGCGCATTAAAAAGCATTGGATGCAGCTCAGATTGCATCTGCAGCCAGACCCCTCTCGATTATTTTGCTTGTTTTAAGGGAAAACTCACTTCATTATTTCTGAAAACAAGTCAATGTGATTTGCTCTTGACATGAGTGTTTAGATATTTGGACTGGAAACAAGACATAAAAAAAATCTATGCAAAAACAACCTCTCAAAGCCTCCAGCAGACACAAGCACACCGCTGTTCTGCAGCCATGTTTACAGGATGAGCTGGAGTCCTGATGAGATTTACTTGAATATTGTAAACAAAGGCTTTTCTTACTTTGAATTTGGCTGTCCTTTCTTGTTTAAATATTAAAAAAAATCTTAAACCAAGAAGCATTTTTAGACAATTTAAAAATACAGCTTTTCTTTCAGAACTAATGAGTCAAAATGAAGCGAGTTATTCTTTAAAACAAGCAAAATAATCTGCCAGTGAATACAATCATTCTACCTCACTTGTTCAAAGGAAAAACTCATGCAATTTTGGCATTATTACTATAATTTATATATATATATGTATATGTTTTCACATTTTTTATTTTTATTAAATGTTTTAAACTTATATATATATATATATATATTTGTATATATATATATATATATATATATATATATATATATATATATATTGTTCTGGAGACAATATAATATATATAATATTTTCCTCTATTTCTCAGTGAATATAGGAAATGTATTTTGGTGCAATTAAACAAAACATATTTATTAAACATGTATATTTATTAAAATAATATTATAGTCACCAAACATATTTAGAAATTGAAAGATAACACAATTAAATTCGAGCAAAATATTAAAAAACACATTACAACCTGCAAAAATTCAACCAAATTTTCAAAAAAAAAAAAAAAATTTCTCTGTTAAATTTGCATTTAATATTTTTCTATCACATATAAATGTGGCTGTACTAGTTTTTGAAGTGTTATCGTAAGTTGCTTTGTTAGATAAGCTCCAGATTTGGTTTCAGTACTGACTAATAATGTATATCTGCACCAATATAATATTGTAGAGCTTCATATTCAAAATATGAATTTAAAAGAGAGATATGTGAGGGGTGTACTTATATATGCTGAGCACTGTATTTGCTTATATGCTGAGCACTGTATTTGCTTATATATGCTGAGCACTGTATTTGCTTATATATGCTGAGCACTGTATTTGCTTATATATGCTGAGCACTGTATTTGCTTATATATGCTGAGCACTGTATTTGCTTATATATGCTGAGCACTGTATTTGCTTGTCTAGAAAATGCTTCTTGATTTAAGAATCTTTAGATATTTAGACTAGAAAGAAGATAAAACTCTTAAGTAGGAAAAGCTTTTTATTTGCAGTGTGTATATGCTTCATTTCATTTTACAAAAAGTGCTTTAAGCCTCGGCAGGGTCAGTTGGCGTTTCTGTGTGGAGTTTGCATGTTCTCCCTGCTTTCGCGTGGGTTTCCTCCGGGTGCTCGGGTTTCCCCCACAGTCCAAACACATGCGGTACAGGTGAATTGGGTAAGCTAAAAATGTCCGTAGTATATGAGTGTGTATGGATGTTTCCCAGAGATGGGTTGCAGCTGGAAGGGCATCCATTGTGTAAAATCGTGCTGGATAAGTTGGCGGTTCATTCCGCTGTGGCAATCCCAGATTAATAAAGGGACTAAGCTGAAAAGAAAATGAATGATTGAGTGAAAAAGTGCTTCATGATTATGTGGATATGTGCTGAATGCATCTAATAGGAGGCAGTGCCATATATTTGTATTGAGAACAGAATCCTGAGGTTCTGATGTCCAAAACTAATTAGTCATCAGTTATTTTTTTTTAAATGTATTTTTGTACTGAGCCTCTAGACGAGAATATTTGAGTGTGTGTGAAATCTACATGCTTGATCAAAATGTGAAAGTGTCGACTCCTGCATTTACTTCAGTGGGACTCGCTCTGTGAATGAACTCTTTTCCCGCCATGCAGCATTTTTGATGATGTCACTATAACATGACGGCCCTCAGGTTATGTTCTGCTATAGGAATAAATGACCGTGTTATATATCACAATAAAGGATCAAGCGTCTGCTTCCAATCAAAACAAAAAGAAGCACTTCATTATCAACATTTTTGACCAAAAAAAAAAAAAGAAGAGTGCATTTTCAAGATGTATAGCATTAGCATATAATACACACACATATACAAACACACAAACATAGGGATACTATATATTTACACACACACACAAAATCAACAGCAGTGATGCAGGATTGATTACACCAGAGGTGTCTAAACTGGGTCCTGGAGGGCCGGTGTCCTGCTGTGTTTAGCTCCAACTTGCTTCAACACACCTGCCAGGAAGTTTCTAGTATATCTAGTAAGAGTTTGATTTTGTGTTTTAGGTGTGGTTGATTAGGGTTGGAGCTAAACTCTTCAGGACACCGAACCTCCAGGATCGAGTGTGGACACCCCTGGATAAAGCTGCTGTCACACTGGGCTTTTCCTCCTATAGACTTGCATTCATACGCACCCGAATGCGTCAGACCAGAAACGCAGGGTCATGCGTCAAGTTTCGCAGGTCGCTACTGTGCAAAGTTCAAGCTTGATGAACTCTGCCCTGCGAAATCGCATCACTTGACTGCGTGAGACCAATCGAGGATCCAAACATGACCTCTCTGGACAGAAATTTAAAACATGGAGCAATCGCTCACTTTTTTAATGAATTTTTATTTTCTAATAATTTTGTTTAATTCCGCCCCTTTTCGCAGCGCCGCACGACAGAGATTCACACACACAAACTCTAGTGTGATCGTAGCTTTACATGCAATATGACTTCTGTTTGTCTTTTTAGACTAAATGGATCAACAGTTTTATTACTTCAGTTTCTCATCAAATCTTCTGACCAATCAAATGCTCTCTAGTGCCTGACATGCTCCGCCCCCTTCATCTCATTGGCTGTTCATTTGATGTGCTTGAGCTCAGCCACTCTCTCTCAGTGGCAGGCAGATCTGTAATAATAACTAAACGCTATTGGGTGATATTTTTTTAAAGGGGAGGAGCTACACTATAGGCTTTATTTGTGCTGAAATAAACTCCAGCACCTCTGAAATCTGATCCGGTACCTCATTTTACCGATCCCCCTCCTCACACGCACCCTGCCCTGCTCTTCTGCTCTTATTTCTTCTGTGTTATGCCATCCCCCTCTTCACTTTTGTCCACGACACCAATCCCACCCTCCACCTCACTCTTCACTTTTGTCTGCAACACCCCCCCACCCCACCCCCTGATCTTCACTTTTGTCCGCGACACCTCTCCATCCTCTAGTAACATGCCGGATCTGTTACGGGACCTCACAGTTTACTAATTGAGCATTAAACATTGAATAATGCACATTTCAAAGCATTTCACCTTTATAGTCCACATGAACCGTAAGCTGTGACTGCTTTTTTTTTCGTGTTATGACGCAGTTACTAAAAAAACTGAATATTAAATGAGAAAACAGTGGGCGTGGCTTGTTTTGCTCTACTGCGAGCTGATTGGATGTTGTAAAGTAGGCATTTCATTCAGAAAGATGTGGAAAAGGCTTTGGGGAGAGTTATTACAGCCTAACAGACTCCTCCTCCTCACCCTTTCTGTTTGTTCGTATGACTGACAGTAGGAGGGGCGTGGTTAAGTATGTTAGCCACTCCCAATACCTCAGACAGACCTAATCTAAGATTTTGAGTGCAAGTGCATTTTCAGATTTCAATTGTAGATTCCAAGGGCAGACGATTGTTCTTTGTTCTTAACGGCACGCACAGATGAATTGTTCACCACTAAACTAGCAATGCGAGCTAACAAAATCAACATGGTTAGTTTTGATTTCATGCGCACTTTAAAACATGGATTGCCATAAACACTCGTCAATGATGGCGTGCAGGCGTTTTCTCATAATGATCTCATCAGACCAATTTGTGGCCGAGTTTCTGTTGATCTTAAAACTGCTTCCACTTTTTGTCGTAGTAACGTTAACATTTGACCGTGGAATGTTTTAGCAGTGAGGAAATGTCTGGAATGGATTTATTGCGAAACCTATGACGCTCCATTCACACGGGGCTTCAGCGTCAACGCTTGACTGAAGGCGTGTCTGAAGTTGGGGCTGAAGCGATCGTCATAGCAGCATCAGCCAATGAAATTCAGTCAGCAATAGGCCACTGTCTAGCTGGTGTATTTGCATACAGCGATCTGATTGGCTGACGCTTCCATCGGCGCTTGAAAAGCTGAGCTAGTTCCAACTTCTGCAGCGAGCAACGCCTCTGAAGCGGCGCCGACGGATCCACAATGCAGTTCAGCAACGCCTGACGTCACCCATTCAAAGTGAATGGGAAGCATTGACACTGACGCCCCGTGTGAATGGGGCGTCACAGTACACTGTAAAAAATGTCCCTGATTTCACTTTAAAACTGTAGAAACCCTACAGCACAGTACGTGTCCTTAATATATACTGTAAATAACTGTACATTGACTTTCGCAGAATTCTCTGCGAATTCTGTGCTTATTTTTAAGGTTTTCTTTCTTTGTTATATTACATATATTGTTAATAAATCAAGTTTATTGCATTACTTTAGTGTTATGTGTTGTTATGATGCTGTTTGGCAATTGTGTGATTGGCAATGAGCGTCTTCTATATTAGCATGCTTGTGGGAAACCTGTTAAATAAAAGCTTATCATATGACTTTCTCATCACCATATGGTTGTGTTTTTGTGTGTGTAATAAAGGATACGATGTGTGCTTTAAAACACTGGTCTATTAACACTTAATGATTAAAATACAATAGTTTACTGTAAAATATTTGACTTTCTTTGCGTTTTTAACTGTAACACACTGGAAACTACTCAATTTTTTTTAATAGTACAATTGTTGAATTTCACCCAATATTTTGGCAGTATAGTGTATGTTGGCCACATTATTTTTTACTCATGAGTTAAAAAAATGCACATATATAAAGACTGAGGAAATGTTTTTAATAATAAGAGGTGAATTAGCCGCGTGGTACTGGTATCGTTCGTTGTAACGATTGTTGTAATGGTTCTAATATCTAATGGCCATCCGCTTGTTTAGTCTGACGTCACGCGAAGCGGCTTCCGGGTCTAAGCGCTCTATTCAACTGACTCATAAAATAGTAATAATAAACGTTCACAAAGCGATTTAATACTTTCGAAGATCACGATCGCAACATATATGCCCATGCCTAATATGCGATGGCCAGAAAGTGATTCATTTTTTTTTATAAAATGTTAAATTTTTGGTATTTGTTATGCAGCAAGCCCAGAGATTGTTGTATACACTATGATTTTATATAAAATTAACTTTAATGTGTGATAGGAATAAAACGTGATCATAAACGAATGATTTCTTCACGCAAATGAATGGCGGCTTGGACTAGGAAACAGTATTACATGCGTCACAAACACGTCACCACTTAACAAGCGGATAAGGAGATCACATACGGAGGGGGGCGGGGCCCTCTTATCACATCCCGTTCGCTAGTAGTCACTGAGGCTGCGTCCGAAACCGCATACTTTCATACTATATAGTATGCTAAAATCAGTATGCGAGCCGAGTAGTATGTCCGAATTCATACAATTTGAAAATCAGTATGCGAGAAATACCCGGATGACTTACTACTTCTGGCGAGATTTTGTAGTGCACATCCTATGCACGCTGCGCTGTCCCATGATGCCCCGCGAGAGAATATATGAATGCAAGTGAAACGACGCAACTGACACAGGTAGGTCACGTGACCATGATAAAATGGCGGATGTAGTACATCCGAATTCCATTCATACTTTTCACATTCATACTGTATAGAACCCACTTTTCTAACGGCCGAGTAGTACATTTACAAATACATATTCGTTTAAATTCGGACGCAGCCTGAAAGTTTTGCACTTGAGCGCCTCCAAGTGCTGTTTACGGTAACTTCAGAAGCTCTGTGCACGTGAACAAAAGTGCCAATCTGATTGGTGGAGAAGGTTATGGCGCGGTGCGTCAAAACAAAAAAATTAGCATGAGGCGTTTCTTAAAAAATAAAGCTTTTACGTCTGCCGTTGGTGTGCACAACCACAATAGCACCGTTTATTTAGTCACGAGGTGGTAAACGTTGACGGAAAACGTGAGCGAAAAGCGTACCGCTGTGCACGGGCCTTAAAAGGGATTTTTGCATAATAGGTGCCCTTTAAAGTATCAAACATTACATATCTGCAAATGAAAAATGACTCTAAATATATATTTTAAGGCTGTAAAATAATGTATTTTTTAATTTTATTTATTTTTTTATGTTGTAACCCATTTTTTTTATCATTAAATGAATAAAATGCACACAACTGGAGGCTCGGAGTTTGACTTTACTTATAAATGTAAGTATTTCCTCATAGCTAGAAGATCGCTGGTTCTAGCCCCGGCTGGGTCAGTTGGTGTTTCTGTGTGGAGTTTGCATGTTCTCCCGGTGTTGGCGTGGGTTTCCTCTGGGTGCTTCGGTTTCCCTCACAGTCCAAACACATGCGCTATAGGGGAATTGAATAAGCTAAACTGGCTGTAGTGTATGAGTGTGTGCAAGAGTGTGTGGGTGTTTCCCAGTGTTGGGTTGCAGCTGGAAGGGCATCTGCTGCATAAAATATATGCTGGATAAATTGGTGGTTCATTCCGCTGTGGCGGCCCCTGATTCATGAAGGGACTAACCTGAATGAAAAATAATTGAATGAACGTTATGGACAAACAAGAATAAATATAAATGTTCGTGTTTTGTGGGTGTCAGTAGAGCACAAAAAGTGCGACCTTCACCTCGTCATGATGATGACTCAGAAGTGAATTAAAAAGGGAAGCATTTATGACCCCTACACACCCTTCAAAGTTGTCCCTAGGGCACAGGGATGAGCCTTTTCGAATGGAACGCAGTGAGGCAGGCTGTGCCGCAAAATATCGCACCTGTCGTAAAATCATCTGCGATCTCATATAAAACATTAATAATCTCAAAATGCAGTTCACTTACGTGATACAAAGCGTGTTAAATATTAACACAAAGCTTTCTAAATCAGTTTCGCACACTTAGGCATCTCAGAAATTGATTGACATTGCAAAAGAAGCACATTACAGTCTTCCTCCACAATTGAGAAAGGCTAAAACCATGCCGGCTTCCATTGAAGGGAGGGGCTATAGCGCGATAGAAGAGATACAGCAGCGGCCGGACGTTATTTATAATACTTATTAAATTACCAATTAATTATATATTTTTAACCTCTACTCCTACCCCAACTATAATCCCAAGCACCACATTAATGTAAAAACAGTAATTAAACCGATTATTATTCATCCTATTTAATAAATTACCCGTCAAATTGTACTTTACTAACACTTTCTTCAACACCAACCCTCATAATAGTGTAAAAATATGAACTATTATTGTAAAGTGTTACAAAAATCATGCTATATTGATGTAAGTTTCCGCGGCTGTATCCCATCTAGACTTTACCGCTGTTGTGGAGGGCGGGGCTTACAGCCAGTATAGAGCAATACAATTGGCCAATGCGATTGTCAATCTATTAAAAAGCGGCAGACGGGCAGAAGTAATGGCTGATTCAAAGTAAGAGCTCGTAAAATTGATAATACAGGCTTTTCCTTTTGTATATATACGAGACAATTATTATATCGCAACATGTAAGTGTCTGTTTAACGCGTGTGTAACTGTTCGTGCTCACATCAATCTCGGATTTACTTTGACTAGTGCACAGAGGCAGGCTGCATTGTATTGTGTGCTATACTATAATGGAGTGTCGTTTTGCATGCTAACGTTACATATTATAATAAATGTGTCGTTCTGTTTGTTATAAAGTATAACACAGTGTCGTTACACACTGTTTAGTATGCTATAATATGATGGAGTGTCATATTCTTAGTATCTGCGTTGTGTATGTGATGTTTTAAGCTGCTCGTGTGCTAGCTTAGCTCTTTTCACTCGGTTGTACGCTCTTTATTGTCGCCTCAGTGTCACAATGGCTCCCCAACGCAGTCAGGACAAAACACCGATCCAGCTCCTGCACGAATATGGCATTAAAATCAGCAGCGCGCCGAAATACGAGCTCATTCACGCGGACGGGGACGCGCATCAGCCTTCCTTCATGTTCAGCGTCACCATAGGAGAGGTCACATGCAAAGGTGACGTCATCTACACATCTCTTATTTATTAGAAATACTACTAAACGCATGTACTAATTACACAATGCACGACAGTCTTCTAATGCGCCGTTGTTTTGCTTGTGAAGGCCGAGGATCCACAAAAAAGGCCGCGAAGCATGAAGCTGCAGAAGCCGCCTTGAAGTTGCTGAAGCGAGACAGTCAGATAATGTAATGCACAGCACACACACACCCATACATGCATACAGCAGATGGGCTTATAAACTATTATAGATTGATTAAATGGGTTAAAACTAATCCAGATGTTCTGAATTTTTAATAGAGACCAGAGAGACAACAATGGTCTATCTCCTGAAGCCGGAGAAGCGTCCAATCCTGTGGGAATACTGCAGGTATCTAAGAACTACACACACACACACACACATGTAAATAATACTGGGTTTTACACAATGGATTTGTGTTTGAATAACATGAAGGAAATAAATTAACTTATTATTTAAAGTTAGTTATTAGTGGGCCCACAAGGAATCTGACCTTGGATAAAAATATTATGGTTTTACGGTATCACAGTGTTGTAATTACTCCTCTAAAATAAGTTATTTTTAAATGTCTGTGTAAAAAAACAAAAACTTGTTTCCTCTTTGAACACAGAATATTTTATTTTGTGAAAGATTTAAAATATTTTGGAGCAGTAAACATGTCAGGTTAAATAATTCAAAAGAGTCATAGACTTCTGGGGTCTGTTCTTCGTACGTGGATTACTCAGCTGGATTTGGATATTGATGATTTGACACGATCCAGGATCGTTTCGTTCTTCAAAGCTCATTCGAGAGTTGTTGTCATAGCAACAGTTCTGCTAGCTCAAACCTGATCAGGAGCAGGTTCAATTCATATAAACAGGATTAGATCGGCTCAGTTCAAGCAAAGAAAACACTGAAAGTATGTTCCGAATTCAGATATTTTCTTACAGTAGTGTGTGTGCGCGAGGTATTTTATCTGGACTTTTTTTTCTTTTCTTGTTTATTTTGGTGTTTTTTTTTTCAACAGAATCACCATGCTAATTCGCAACCCTTGCATTCAGTATGTGTTTGTCATCTAATCTGCTCACTCTTTCAGGAGCTGGCCATGCAGAGAGTGTGGTGTCTGCCCGAGTATGTTGTGTTTATGGAGACTGGGCCGGGACACATGAAGGAGTTCACCATCGCCTGCCGTCTGGAGGGACTGGAGGAAACAGGTGACGTCTGGGGCTGTACATACAATACAGTGGGGGAAATATGTATTGAACAAATCACTGTTTTTCTCAGAAAACACATTTCTAAATGTGCTGTTGACTTGAAATGTTCCCCAGATGTTGGTAGCAACCAAAGAAATCCATATATGCAAAGAAAACAAAACTGATTCGTTTAGAATTGAAGTTCTGTGTAATAAAATAAAATGACGCAGGGGAGGAGTATTGAACACATGAAAAAAGGGAGGTGTAGTTCGGCAGTGAAAGCCCAGACAGCAGCTGAAATCTCTCAGTGGTTCTTCAGCAAGCCTCTGCCCTTCCTCAATGTAAATGAACATCAGCTGCTTCAGTCCAACATCTGCATCAGCAGGAGGATGAAGATGAACCCAGGGTGGACATTTCAGCAAGATAATGATCCCAAAACACAGCCAAGGAGACTCTCAGATGCTTTCAGAGAAAGAGAATCAAGCTGCAGAATGGCCCAACCAATCCCCTGATCTGAATCCAATAGAGAATACAAAATAAAGCTCAGATTTTGCAGACGAGACCCACAGAACCATCAAGATTTTGATACTTTACAAAAGATCTCAGTTATTAGTAATGAGATATAAAATCTATTATGTTTAGAAATGTGTTGTGGGGGGTTGGGTCTGAGGTAAACAGAAATTGGGGAATAAAATAAACAGGGGGCTAATAGTTCAGGAGGGCTAATAATTCTGACTTCAACTGTATATTGCCAACTGCTGTTATTCATGTGCAGATATCGTGCTGATTTCTCCACTGATGCTTTATTATCTGCTTTTTTTTTGGCTCATCAGGATCCGGCAGCTCCAAAAAGCTGGCCAGACGAGCAGCTGCTGAAAACATGATCGCCAAACTGCAGAGTTTGTCAGGATCTTCTGAGATCACGTGGGTTAGTAATTCATCAGCAGTTATTTTATTTATGAAGACTTCTGGATTGATTTATGAAAGCATGTTGGATTAAAGTGGTGTTTGGGACCCCTGGAGGAGGGGGTTGCTTGGTGATTAATCCCAAAATTTTGTAAACAATTAGAAATTACCATATTTTATCCATAACAAACAAAAGATTCAAATTAGTCGCTAAAAGTTCTGTTTTTAAAATGCAAATAAAAACCTTTTGATGTTTTGTTAATAATTTAAATATTTCACTATTGTCATTGTTAGATTATAGAGTTGCAGCTAATTGAGAAAAACACTGACAGAAACTAAAACAGCTGATGGAGTATACACTAACCTGCACATTATTCAGACACTAGATGGAGACAAACAGTCAAAAACACAACAGAAACTAAAACAGCTGATGGAGTATACACTAACCTGCGCATTATTCAGACACTAGATGGAGACAAACAGCCAAATACACAACAGAAACTAAAACAGCTGATGGAGTATACATTAACCTGCGCATTATTCAGACACTAGATGGAGACAAACAGCCAAATACACAATAGACACTAATACAGCTGATGGAGTATACACTAACCTGTGCATTATTCAGACACTAGATGGAGACAAACAGTCAAAAACACAACAGAAACTAAAACAGCTGATGGAGTATACACTAACCTGTGCATTATTCAGACACTAGATGGAGACAAACAGTCATAAACACAACAGAAACTAAAACAGCTGATGGAGTATACACTAACCTGCGCATTATTCAGACACTAGATGGAGACAAACAGTCAAAAACACAACAGAAACTAAAACAGCTGATGGAGTATACACTAACCTGCACATTAATTAGACACTAGATGGAGACAAACAATATTCCAGATAGCCATGTAATAGCATCAGTCATCATGCAGTGTGTTCAGTGGTGGCCTGTGTGTCTCCTCAGAGTCCTCCTTCTCGTGTGTATGTGGAAAGCTTGCGTAATTCCACTGGTGAGAAGGTCTCGCTGCTGAAGAGGACGCCGCTCAGCCTCCCAAACACAGACTACATTCAGATGCTGCTGGAGATCTCACTGGAGCTCGGCTTCCAGGTCACATACATCGACATTGGTTTGTTTATCTTCCCTTTGAGTTATTTTTTTATTGTGTTTTTGATAAAACAAGGTACACTACCTGACAAAAGTCTTGTCACCTATCCAAGTTTTAGAAACGGCAAATAATAACTTCTAGTTGATCATTTGGCATCAGAAGTGGCTTATATTAAAGGTGAAGGCCTCTAGATTTTGCTTATTTGAGCACAATAAAATCTGATCATGCCTTAGATATTAATGATTTGATTAGGATAGTAAGCTCTGACTCTGCTTAGACTAAAGTCTCATCACTGAACAGAAATAATGTCCAGTATAGAATATAAAGTCCTGCTGCAGTGGAGACAGAATGAATATTGTGTCTGACTCCATCATGAGCTTGGAGGACTGCATCCATACATCTCTGACATGACTTACATCACTGATTAATAAAGTCATCTGGAATGAAGAAGAAAGCCTTCAGCAGGACTCCCAGAGCTCATCAGGATCCTCTGGATTCAACTTCAACGCCTCCTCCTTCATCTTACCCCAGACATGCTCAATAATGTTCATGTCTGGTGACTGGGCTGGACAATCCTGGAGCAGCTTGACCTTTTTTGCTTTCAGGAGCTTTGATGTGGAGGCTGAAGTATGAGCAGGAGCGCTATCCTGCTGGAGAATTATCCCTCTCCTGTGGTTTGTAATGTAATGGGCAGCACAGATGTCTTGATACCTCAGGCTGTTGATGTTGATTATCCACTCTGCAGTTCTCTCACACACCCCCATACTGAATGAGCCCCAAACCATGATTTCTCCTTCACCAAACTTGACTGATTTCTGTGAGAATCTTGGTCCATGCTGGTTCCAGTAGGTCTTCTGCAGTATTGGTGATGATTGATGCAGATCAACAGATGATCCAGCAGAGAAATCCACCATATGACACTTTTACACATGATCAACTAGAAGTCAAGTTATTATTAGTTGCTCTTACAGAGATCCACAACAAGACTTTTGTCAGGTAGTGTAATTTATCTACATTTTACAACCCCATCTATCTGCAGATATAGATATGAATATGACCACTGATATATCCTGCATCTCATATATATATATATATGTGTGTGTGTGTGTGTGTGTGTGTGTGTGTGTGTGTGCAGATGAGCTGACAGTGAACGGTCAGTATCAGTGTCTGGTGGAGCTCTCCACCCGGCCGGTGACGGTGTGTCATGGCTCTGGAGTGACCAGCAGTAACGCCCACAACGCCGCAGCCCACAATGCACTGCAGTACATCAAGATGGTGGCCAGCAAACACTAACAGCAGGTCTGGGGTCTGCAAACGCACGCTGGGAATCTGCTCTTCCAGACGCTGAAGACTGAGCCACACACTGAAGACACACGGCTCTATGCAGACAATAAATCCAGCTACTATGGGTTATAAACTCTTTATTACTGGATGGTGAACGTGGTAAATTCACACTATCAGACAGACGTGTGTGTGTGTGTGTGTGTGTGTGTGTGTGTGTGTGTGTGTACAGTAGTCATTGTTTGAAGTGGATCCTTTTCTTAAACTGTTCTAATTCTATTGAACACCATTTTCTAAATCCTCTTCAAATGTGGAGCGCTGTGTAAATATGAGCAGCTTACATGCAAAGTGTCGTCTGAAATTTTCATCCAGGATTTGCATTTTTCTGAGGCTGTTGTGTGTAGTTTCAATAATTTTACTCTCAGTGCAAAGATTGGGTTATGGTCATTACTTTTAAAGTGAAATAACTAAACATAAACATACGAGCTTAAGAAAATGCAAACTTCAGAGGAAATTTTCAGACGGCGCTTGGAGGTTTTGGCATCTGAACTCTTCATATACACACCCGGTCAAGAGTTTGGGGTCAGTATGATGTTTAAATGTTTTAAAATCAGCTTTTCCTGATCCCCATAACTGCATTTGTCATCAAATATACAGTAAAAATGTGAAATGTTACTGTAAAATAACTTCAAAAGTAGTCTATCCTTTAATTTAATCATTTATTCCAGTGATTTATTTATTTTTAAGATTTATTTTTGGCCTTATTGAGAGGATAGGACCGTATTTTAGACTGGAAACGAAGTGGGAGAGAGAGAGGGGGAAGGGTCAGGAAATGTCCTCAAGCTGGGGTTCGAACTCTGGACGCCCTGAAGTGCTTCTGCACCATATGTCAGCGCCGTAACCACTAGACTGTTGCGCTGTCATTCCAGTGATTTTAATGATGAATTTTCAGCTTCATTACTTCAGTCTTCAGAGTCACATGATCCTTCACTAATCACTCTAATATTAGTTATTGTTATGATTATCATTATTAATGGTAATAGCAATAAAGCAGTAATGACTGGAGTAATGGATTCATTTGAAACCACATACAATAAGTAATAAATAAATATTTAACCATTTTTTTATATTTAATAAATGCCGACTTAAACAGAATCATAAAAAAAAATCATGAAAAAAAACTGACCCCAAATGGGTATAACATAAAACATTTGTCCTCCTGTGAAATGTATTACTTTTCATATATTTTCTTTTTAAAGTGCAAGGACTTTTTTTTCTTCAGACATTTTTCATTGTTTTCTGTTGTTTTTCTTTTAGAGAAAGTCTAAAAGCCTCTATTTTTACTCAATAGTCTGCAGAACACTATCGTCTAATGACTTGCCTCATTTAGCTTTTAAATTACACTTTAATCTGAAAACGAGTATCTTACATCCTTTACTATAATGTACTATTATATACTGCACTATAATATACTTTCATCATGGGAAAACCCAAAAAAATGTTAGTTGAATTTTTTTTTTAGATATTAAAAAATCTTTAAAATTGATTTAAAAAAATGTGTAAAATATTTGTTAAAATATATATATATATACACACAAAGTTGAAGTCAGAATTATTCGCCCCCCTGTTTATTTTTTTTCCCCAATTTCCGTTTAACAGACAGGTTTTTTCAACACATTTCTGCACATAATAGTGTTAATAACTCATCTCTAATAACTGATTTATTTTATCTTTGCCATGATGACAGTTAATAATATTTAAAGGCTTAACTAGGTTAATTAGGGTAACTAGGCAGGTTAGGGTAATTAGGCAAGACATTGTATAGAGGTGGTTTGTACTGTAGACTATCGAAAAAAGTATTGCTTAAAGGGGCTAACAATTTTGTCCTTAAAATGGTGTTTAAAAAAATTAAAAACTGCTTTTATTCTAGCCGAAATAAAACAAATAAGACTTTCTCCAGAAGAAAAAATATTATCAGACATGCTGTGAAAATATCCTTGCTCGTTAAACGTCATTTGGGAAATATTTAAAAAAGAAAAGAAAATCAAAGGAGGGCTAATAATTCTGACTACATATATATATATATATATATATATATACACACACATACACACACACACACACACGCAGGGTGATTCAAAAAAAATAACACAACTTTGAAAATTGAGAGCTCTGCAAAGAAGAAAAGGAGAGTGAAGCTCTTTCTGTCGTCGATTTATGGAAGCTCTGAAGTTTCACATTGAGGAATTAAAAGAAGGAATAACTGGAGCTATCCAAACTGTGACGCCCGAGATGCTACAGAGAGTGTGGAACGATTGGGTTGATGTCACTCGAGTGCCTGGAGGAGGTCATATTGAAGCACTCTCCACATTAATTAATTAACAAGATTCCCTCATGTTTCTTTGATTAAATACAGATTTTCAAAGTTGTGGGATTCTTTTTGAATCCCTGTGTGTGTGTGTGTGTGTGTGTGTGTGTGTGCGTGCGTGCGTGCGTGCGTGCGTGCGTGCGTACGTACACACTCTACTGGTCAAAAGTTTAGGGTCAGTTTTGTTTTTTGTTTTTTAATGACTCTGTTCATGGGTGAAGCAGTGGCGCAGTAGGTAGTGCTGTCGCCTCACAGCAAGAAGGTCACTGGTTCAATCCTCGGCTCAGTTGGCGTTTCTGTGTGGAGTTTGCATGTTCTCCCTGCATTCGTGTGGCTTCCACAGTCCAAAGACATGCGGTACAGGTGAATTGGGTTGAATAAATTGTCCGTAGTGTATGAGTGTGTGTGTGTGTGTGAATTGGCTGGAAGGGCATCCACTGCGTAAAACATATGCTGGACAAGTTGGCGGTTCACTCCGCTGTGGCGACCCCAGATTAATAAAGGGACTGAGCCGTCAAGAAAATGAATGAATGACTCTGTTCATCAAGGCAGCATTTATTAAATGTAAAATAATTGTGAAATGCTTTAATTATAATTTTAAATAACTGCTTTGTCATTGTATGTAGTTTTAAATGAAATGATTACTCCATTGTTATTACTATTACATTAATAATAATAACACTAATAATAATAATGATCAATATTACAGGGATTTATGAAGGATCATGTGACTGAAGATTCATCATTAAGTCACTGGATTAAACTACTTTTGAACAGTTATTTTACAGCGCAACAACATTTCACTATTTTACTATGTGCACTGTATTTATGATCAAATAAATGCAGCTTTGGTGAGCAGGAGAAGCTGATTTTAAAACATTGAACAATCCTACTGAAAATCCAAACTTTTGACTGGGTGTGTATGTATACAGATAGATAGATGGACATATATATATAGTAATATGTATAAAACATTTAAATGGGGTCAAGAAATTTAATAAAAGTTATCCTGAAACTATTGAACATCACCCATTCCTCTCTTAGGACAATTTTGAACTGCATTGCATGATCCACTTAAAATGCTGTCTACACACACACACACACACACACTCATGAAAGTATTTCTTTATTTTTTTTTATAAATGCAGTCTTGGTCAGCATGAGAGATTTGTTTTCCAGTCATGAAAACACACAAGCGTTTGTCTGATAGTGTGCATCCACACGGTCATTAATGTACACTGAATCTCAAATTGCATTCAGATGTCTGTGCTGAAGAGTGTCTGTGTTTGTCACCACATCCAAACTGACGAACGCCTCTTAATTTAAACACCCATAATTATTATTTAGTGTGTTTTTAAGCTGAGATCTGCATCTGATGTGTGTGTGTGCTGCTCAGACTGAAGCGGAGCCTCGGAGCTCTTAATATTGATAATTACATGAAGCACCGAGGCTTTCTCCATCACCGGCCACAACGTCTAGAGCTCATAACAGCTGATAACACACACACAGCAGCTGGCTTTACATTTGGAACTGAATTATTGTATTTTATTTAGAGTAAATCATAGACATTGCTAAAGGTATTTTATTTGTGTTATGCCTGTGTGCCTATATAAGCATATAATCACGTGTCAAGTTCATTTATGCTTTTTCTTGGGAGAAAATAAACTGAAAATGGCATTGAGATTGGCTTGGTTTGGAGCAGATAGTGAAGGATATTCACGTGTTAATGGAGAAGCCTGATACAGTATGCAGCAAGTGTGCCGCAAGCCTGCGTTTGAGTGAAGGTCTCGGCCGTTAGATCGCCCCCTGGGGGCTGGCTGCAGTACAAGTCATAAAGCCCTCCTCCTCTGTGTTAATGAAGGAGACTTGAGCCCAAATAAAAAAATGTATTACACTTGCAATAAACTGTCCCGAAAGATGGTTCTGGTGGATTAAGGCACTGGTTATTGTGCTGAAATAGGTGCAGATCCTCATTTTTGTAAACAGTTTGTTTTTAGCAGTAATTTAATGCTGGGCGTGTCATCGTGATTGACAGCTGTGATTGACAGTTTCTCAAAGCAGCGCGTCTGAGCTTCGGCAGGAGACTGAAGTGTTATTATTCAATTTCTGTGTTATTTTACCATGACAACATGAGTTCAGCAGTAAACTACAGTTTCTGACATACATGATCTGGTGGAACACTGTTTATTCGCTAAGGTCAGGGCTTTTTTCGGGCTTTATTAGTTTGCTGATACACGCCTAACCACCCAGATAGCAAAATACACTCGGGCCAGTTCCGGCTAGATTCTCGCCTGCCGGAGACTCACCCCTCTGAGCTCAGACTGACTACCTCTGCTGGACCTACTCTGGATGCCTGGACTCACTGCCCGATTCCAGCCCGAGTCAATCGAGCCAGATGCGGCGGCCGAGCGAGCCGGCGCTGCCGCATGCGAGCCGGAATCAGCCCGCGACGCCGCGAGTAGGTTATGCGCTGCGGCCCGGAGCTGGCGCGATTGAATATATAAAACCCTCATATTTGTTAACGTTATTACATCCATCTGTGTTGATATGACAGCAAACGCATGCTGAGAAGTTCGGGGGGCGTGGTTGATTTTACATAAAGCGTTTGATTGGAAGCTCGACTCCACTCATTTTCGCGGCTCCTCCTCTGGCTCCATCAGACAGTCCTTCTGCGCATGTCTGGCTCCAATTTCAGCAGTCTTTTGCGACAGTTTGTGCCCGTCAAGCAGGCGTTTTGCCCTCAAGGCGTTCAATGGGAAAAGGGGCTGTCGCGTCGTCCATATTTTTTACAGTCATTGGTATGCAGCATGTTATCTGAGCAGATCTGGATCATGCTTGATGTTCAACAAAACTAAACTGATTTCTAGAGTTCCCACTGAGGGTGCTTTCACACCCGTGAATCGATACAGTTGTTCCAAAACGGATTAAACTTGTTACATTGTTGCTCTTTGTTCTTGGTGCGGTTCACTTTCACACAGCAGAGTTTCTAAACCAGGGGTCACCAACATGTTGACAACTTGTGTTGCCCGCAGGCCTGTTCTAAATATAGCTCACCATAGTGCCACTTACCAGTAAGCTTCATCTAATATAGAAGTAATCATTTAAAAAAGTAAATATTTGCAGAGATATATAAAAATAAAGTGTTGCACATTGATGCATTAAATGCAGGTTATTTCCTACCCTGTTAACTCATTGTCAGGGCTCAACAATAAGGACTGCCCGATGGCCCGGGGCCAGCGTGTCGGTTGCTTGGGACAGTAGACAGGATCGTTACTGGCCCGATCGGGCCACTGATGCCGTCACTATAAAGTTAATTTT